GCAATAAGCATTTAAAGGATTGCCCTGTTCACTTGATCTTTTGTGAGACATTATTTTTATGGGGTTTTGTTGTTGTTGTTGTTGCTGCTGCTGCTGCCGTTCTTGTGGCTTCTTAATTTTAAGAAGTGTGAAGTCCCATTTGTGAAGAGAGCTGTTATGCAGCTTGAAACCTAGGCAGCAGTTACTTTGTTCACTTCGTACAAAATGATTCTCTTGGTGAACTGTTCCAAATGTAAAGAGTTATGAAGAACTCTGGGTTGGTTTTGATTATGCAGCATGTTCAGTTGTGATTCTGTCCGTCTCTTCACTGAAAGATCAGTGGTTAAGCATATGCTGTTAGCTGCCAGAGTCAACACTCGTATTTTTCTTTCCATTCTGTGAGAAGAACTTCAAATGTTATTATTCATGAAAGCTTTTACTGCAGCCTGTTGGTCTGGACTGAAAACACACATTATTCCATGTCCTATTAAGAATTCCAGCCTGGAAAGGTCAACAGTTAGGTTTATCACAGTGTTTATGGAGGCGCTGATTATTTACTTAGCACTGTAGCACTGTAGAGTAACTGAGATTTTTTTTGAATTCATAAATTAGAATGTATCATTGTTACAGTAATTAGCAATATAAAGTCATTATGATTTATCCATTAGAGCATGTATTTTTCATGGTTTTTTACTCATACGTCTGTATATAAAAGCAAACCGATGTCCTAAAAAAGTCACAATTATACATTAGTTGTTGAGTAGTAGTTTTCATTTCCCACATTTGTTTTCACTTTTGTTTCAGAACATTTGTTTATATCATATTGAAAGCAGCTTTCACTCCAATAAACAAAGTAATTTCAAAAAGAAAAAAAAAAGAAAACTTCTGATTGGCTGTTAATCATGAAGTTCCTACAGTGTCTTATTTAGATTTGCAGAAATAAGTAATACGGAAATACATTTTTTGATAACATAAGTCACAATAGAAATATTTAGAAATACCTGCTTTTTAATTTTGATAGGCTAACATACTGTATCTTTTCCTCATTTCCTTTTATTCAGTAATAAACGAATTTAACAAGGATAGAGATACAAAACAATGTACTATCATAGTATCCAGAGTTAGCCAACCTGCAGAGTCTGAGGGATAAGACTGTCTTCACTTCAGACGCCAACTGAAAGTCAGAAGTTCTCTAGAACCACCTTCAGTTTTGGTAATTTTTTGGAGAAACTCATAGAACTCAATGAAAACTATTTTATTCATGGTTCCATCCATAGCAGAGAAAGGAAAAAAAAAATCAGCCGAAGGGAAAGAGGCATAAGACAGAGTTTGGGTTGGGTGGGGGGTTCAAACATGGAGCTTTTCTCTCTATATGGAGTTATGAATGACATTATCTCTTCCTGGCCACAGTGTGTGAAGATATGCACATAGTAATGTCAATCAGAGAAGCTCACCTGAGCCTTTAACATCCAAAGTTTTTACTGTGATTTGATCACATACTGTTTGCATGGCTGACCCTTAGTTTCTAGCTTTCTTGGAAGTCAGGCTAATATCTTTGGTCTATAGTTCTTCCAGAGATTGGAACTTCTACTGTATGGCCCAAAGTCCTCATCATAAATCACACTGTTAGACTGTCTCATGGCCAAAGTTCTTAGGCAAACGAAGAGCAGAATATTCCATGAATCTGGAGATCCTTTCCCAGTAGCTGAAGGCAAAGGACAGAGCTGTCTTTGGATAAGGTTAATTCTTCACTACACACATAGATACCATTTTAATTTTCATTTTGGGTATGAAATGAGGCAGGGCAAATGTAAAAAAAATTTAGAGCAAAAGAGCTAGGGAGCTAGGAAATACTAGTGCCTTTTTAATGCCTTGAATTATAGAATTTAAAGGTAAAGTGGATATTAATAATCAACTAATAGTCCAAACTTTTTTATTCATTTAGAGAAATGAATTGGCTAATGTCACAATGTTCATGGAACAGCAGGGCGTAGTATTCAAATCTCTTTCTTTGTGTCTTTATCTAGGCCTAATTATAACTTTATCCCCACTATCATTCTCTTTGGGGGTAATTTTAAACAATCTATGACTGCTCCGGATGATGTTTTTCTTCTAATGGTTCAAGTCACTGAGGAGTGCATTCATAAATGCTTATAGGGGAAATAATTAGTCTTGTCTATGTAACAAAGACTCCAGGCAACTTGGGAGTAACGACAGCAACAAAAGTGAAGAAATAATTAAAAATAAAGATTGTTAGATCAAGGTCATTGGGGTATAAGATGATGTCTTTATATTTCTATGAAATTCTTTAAATAAATTAATGCTCAATGTCATGTTATATCATTGGCTGAAAGAATCTCTAACACTCAAAAGACACCAGCGTTAGGCAAGCTAAGTTAAAGAATACTTAAAAATCAAAAGGCCGTCATTAGGAGACCTGAGTTGTAGTCCCTGTTTTATAAGAATAACTGTATAATTGTAGTCAAGCTACTTCTCTGAACCTAAGTGACATTAGGAAGAAAAATGAGAGGATTTAACTATGAGTAGCTCTTACTTTTCTGGAGTCATAGAGAGATGCCTTTAAGAATTCAATGCAGCTTTGCATCTTCTCCCTAAGAAAATGCACAAAATCACTTATACACACAATTTTCATCCACCCCCAGTGAGTCCAAAATATTTGACCCACATCCTGTAACCTGGTTTAAGAAATTCTAGGATTTGGTAATTTCCAAAGTATCTTTCAGGATAAAAATTTGTCATTGTTTCATAACGTGTTACCTCAGAATCATATATAAAATTCAGTTTTTAAAAATCAAATTGATACATACTGCATAAAATATTCAGTGGTTCTCAAACCTACCCAGAAGTATTGATTCAGAAAGACTGGCATGGGACCCAGAAATACGAGTTTTAGTGAACCTGTTCACCAACCCAGAAGCTCTCTGGAGCCTGTCCTTTTGGGTTTTCGTAAAGGCTTCAATGTATAGGCATGATTTTGTCGCTTGTGATTGATTCAACCTCCAGCCACTCCCCCATACCTGAGCATGAGGGTGAGGCTAAAACTTCCAGCCTTCTAATCTTAGTTGGTTCCCGTGGTCATCCTTATCCTTAGCTTATCTAGGGGCTTTCTAAAAATCGCCTCATTAACATAACTCAGATGTAGTTTAAAGGGACTTGTTAGGAATAAGAAAAGACACCTTTATGGCTCTGTGCCAGAAACAAGGATGAAGACCAAATATATGCACATTTCTTATTATAAGTCACAGTGTGACAGGTGTTACTTATTAATTTTCTAGAATGGAATATAAGAAATTAACTTTCTTACATTACCCACCTCCATTTTTTATTTCCCCTTCCTCTGTTCTCTCCAAGATATGTATTTGGAGTTAAATAACTTTCTAGTTAAGTATTTAAAATTTATATGTTTATGCCTGTGTATATTATTTACTCTTTCACTCAACAGATATTTATTGGATGCTTATAATGTGTCATACCAATTTTTAGATACTGGAGGTAATAAACAAACCAGACAAAAATCCGTGTACATATTGAAGTTACGTTGTAATGAAGACAGACAATAAAAATGAACATGATAAGTGAATAAATTATACAGTAAATTTGCAGAAAGCAAGTGCTAAGAGACAAGAATAGAACCAGCTAATAGGGATGGAAGGGTTAAGGATGCCCTGTAATTTGAAATGGGGATGAGCAGATAGACCTTATTGAGAAGGTGACATATGGCAAATACTTGCGGGAAGTGAGGAGTGAGCCATTCAGAGATCTAGGGAGGGAATGAATGTTCGAGACCAAATGAATCAGGCCAAGACTCTCATGTGGAAGCGTGCCTGGTGTGTTAAAGAGACAGTGTAGGTGGAACAGGAAGACTGAGGGGAGGTAGCCGGAGTTAAGGTTAGAGAGTCAACAAAGGGCCATGTTATATTGGGCCTTGTAGGCCATTTTAAGGACTTCAGCATTTACTCTGAGAGAAGTGAAGAGCCTAAGAAGACTTTGAAATATGGATTGATATGTTTTGCTTTATGTTTTAATCAGGATTGCTCTAGCTCCTCTGTTGATAACAGATCATAGTGGGTGGATTGCTTGAAGGCAGGGTGACAAGTTAAGAGGCAATTATAAGAATCTATGCAAGAGATGGTGATGGCTTGGACCAGTGTGGTTGGGATTTTAAGAAATGGTGAAATTATGGATATATTTTGAAGGAGAGTCAAACTTATGACAATTAATCATGTCGTACATACACCCTTATTTTCTTGGACCTTTTGTTTTAATAATTGCTGCTTTTTTATTAGGTCTTTGGTTTTCTGTGTGGCTATAAAATATTTATGAGAAACTCTGTGCCAAGTGTCGGTCCCTGTCCATTATTGAAATACATCAAATATTCTATTTGAGTGTGATGTGACGTATCCCTCCTGCACCTCTCTATCCTCTTGTTCCAGTTTAGGTCGGGTGTTACACTGATAGGCCTGATACACTGCTATCATCCTGATTTTTCCTTCACTACCAGCTTTTGCTTCTCTAACAGGTTGGGATATTTGTTTTATTGGTGCCATGGCTTTATCTTTCTCTATGTCCATCTTTGTCTAGTTGTGTATCTCTTCCAAGAACAAAATGCACTGGAGGTAAATTTTTGAGACTTTACATATCTGAACTTGTTTTCATTATACCCTCATGAGCCTTTGACTATTTTTGACTAGTTAATCTAGATAGGTATGAAGGTTAATTTTATGTGTTAACATGGGCCAGCTATGGTTCGTCAAACACCAGTCTAGGTGGTGTTGTGAGTTATTTTTTGCATGTAATTAAAATTTAAATCAATAGTTCTCCTCTGTAATGTGGGTGGACCTCATCCAATCAGTTAAAAGCCTTAGAGCAAAGAGTGAGTTTCCCCAGTGATGAAGGAATTCTCAAGATGGCAACATAGAAACCCTGCCTGAGTTTCCAGCTTTCTGTCCTACAGAATTCAGACCCAAGACTGCTCGTCAATTCTTACTTGAATTTTTCAGCCTGCCAGCCTGTCCTGTGGAGTTTGGACTTGCCAGCCCCCACAATTGTGTGAGCTAACTCCTTAAAATAAACACAAATTTATACCCCCCCATACACACACACACATAAATATGTATATATATTTCTCCTAAGAAATTATATTTTATTAAATAGTACTCATAACGAAAACTAGTTTCTAAGAGAAACTTTTCCTCAAACTTTTCTTTTTTTAAGAAACATTTTCCTTACTTCATGGATGCAACATCTATTTTTACTTGTGGATAATAATTGTAATTGTACTTAAGCTTTATTCTTACACTTTATTGTTGCTATTTCCTCTAGGTCACTTTATTTTCTTACAGTTTTCGTCTCTGGCTTTCCTATTAGATTCTACCTGTCAATATTTACAAATGGAGACTAAGATTCATACTGAACGTGTGTATGTGTGTGTTTGTGTGCTCAGAATCGAACCTAAGACTGGTGAGCTTTACTATAAAATAATTGGGTAGGGACTCATCTCTTTCTTTAGGAATGACTATATGTCAGTATTTGAAAGTGTTTTCTCTTGGGTCAATTTCCCCAAAAGGGAAACTTTTATTGTCTTAGTGTGGCAATGCTGTCCCTAAGAGAAAGGATGCTGTAGGCTCATTGTCCAGTGATAGACTTTCACTAAGTCCTCCTGATTTTAAGCCCCCAGCCCTCGTTATTGCCTATGGTTTAAAGTTTGAATTACCACTTGTTCAGTCTCATCAGAAAATACATTTTCTGAGGGGTTTTCTGGAAGATGAGGGCTTAGCCACAATTATGTCTGTGTGTGTGTGTGTGTGTAAAAGGAGAGTGGTCCTTACCTGTTTAGAGTAGGATAGCTGATTAAGAGTTCTGACTAATTTTTTTATACAGATTTTCTTCCTGTCATTTTTTCATGTTCAGTTAGACCTGAAACGCTGCCTTCAAATCCATCTGGTAATTAAATTTCTGAAACTTTATTCTTCACTCCTCATTATCAGACTGTGCTCCAGTCTCTTTCACACTCCTTGTTCTTATGGGCAGACACTTAGCTTTTGGCTTTCTTGAATCTGTTTAGATGGTTATTACTCATTTTTATATTTTCCAGTTTAAAAGACATTATCATTATTTGTGTCTTCTGTTTTAAATTCAAATTGTGTGTTTAATCACCATATTTTACCAACATTTTATATCTTTCCAAAAGACAAAATGACCATCAATAACTCAGCTATCATAGAAAAATAGTTGGTTTTGTTAATAGCAATAGCTATTTAACAGCAATGGATGTTAGGTACATATTTATGACTATTGGTTACTATGAACTTTTACTATAAACTTAATGAGGAAATTTATATTGTTATAGTACATAAAAATTAGCTAATTTGCATTTAATACTTAAAATGTATTATTGAAATTGAATTAAAACAATGAGTAAAACACAAAACTTCAGGGGGAAAAGGATATTAAATTATAAATATTTTTTAAAGATTAGCTAGGTATTGTCACTCAATAAAACCATATATACAATTAATAAAACCTGCCATAGTAGAAATGAAAAACTTGTCTTCTCTCTTTATACTTTTCTTGTAACTAGTACTTTTACTCTTTTGACACTTCTTATTTTCCTGGATTTCTTTATTAGAAATAATGTTTTACTTTCCCAACTTAATAGTGTATATTTTCACTACATTTTAGATCTCAGGTATATGACGATAATTTTATAAATTCTGAATTCTCTGTGATTTTTACATATTTAAAGTCTGTTTCATTTAAATTGTTAACTTCCTAGGACATACTATTTCTAATTCTATGCTTTCATGAAGTCACATCTCTATCACTGGCATACAAAATCAGCATTCAATTTTAGGAATTAATTATCTAGTATGTATAGGATACATTTAGGAAACCAAATCCTCTTGTCCATGTATTGTTAATGCTATTTACTGAAACTAGATATAAATAAGTGTAATGCCTTTTTAAATTGTAAGGGATATTTTAAGACAAAGAAATAATTTTTGACTTTGTACCTCAATGGGCCAGTGTAATAGTCTGAGTGGCCATTCTTTTGCTTTTAGCAACATTAAAGCCCTGCAACATTCTGAATACAGGAGGTCTTTTGTAGTCAATTATAGATAGAGTTATGATGAGATTGGTCATTGCAGTGAAGGAACTAGTACCAACAAATACATCAACTAGGAGTGGATACATATTTTGCCAAATTTAAAACCAAATATAGCCCTAAAATATAATATTCTACCAGTTGAATTTGTTATTGCCAATTCATAGAAAATTCCTCCTTTTAGAGTAGAATGCTTTGATGTCTGATATGTTCAGTGCTTTAAAACATCACTTTAAATATTAAAACAAAATGCTTAATATGTATTATTAAAACATTTTTAATGATCAGGAATATGTCTAGGTTTCCAAGCTGTTAAAATAACAGCAGTGGATAATAGCCTAGTGTTTTAAATACATAAATACTATCTTTCATTTCATTTATTTATTGACAGAGAAAGATAATATTTATGTATAGTAAAAAGGCAAGTGAATGAAGCTATAATTTTATTTCATTACTGTTAGTACATCACAACTATTTCTGTCTAAATAGATCTTAATAACTATTATTTAAAAATATTATAATGCTTGAATAGAACTATAGATTAGTATGATATATTTATTATTAGTAAATTGCATCTAGCATAATTTAATTGTAATTGAAAATAATTATACAAGATTTTCCAATATTGCTATTATAATTTCATTTACCACATTTAAGAAAGGATATACATTATTTTCATCTTTATTTATGAAGGATTCCAATTATGTAGTTCCAGAAAGTAATTGCATTTCATCTTGCACTATAGTTTTTTTTTCCAAAAATATAACAAACTTTCTCTAAATCAGAATCAATTAAGGGTTTAATTCAGTAAATTTTAGGATTTTATCAATAAGTTATTGAAGGAAATAAGCACATTTAGCTTTTATTATATGAGAATAAAAAGACTAGACATATATTTTTCATACTTAGGTTTCTAGTTAGCAGGTAAAAATCTTATAAAGCAGTGCGTCTTAGGGTTCTTCAAAGAAACAGGACCCAACAGGATTTATATAGAGATACATATGAGGATATTTTCTATAGGAATTGGTTCCTATGGTCATATAGGTGGCATAATTCAGTTGAAAGGCTTAAGCAGGGGCAAGAAGGAAGGAAGCTGGTGGTGTAAGTTCTGGTTCTGAATTCTAAAGCTTGACCACAGGAATGCCTGACCTATGGGAGCCACTAAAGATGTATGTCCTAGCTCAAGGAGAGAGAGTGAATTTGCTCTTCTTCTGCATTTTTATTTTGTTCAGGTTCTCAACAGTTTGGATGATAGTCACCTACGTTGGGAAGGGACATGTACTTTACTCAGTTCAACATTTTAAACGTTCATTTCTTCCAGAAACACCCTCACAGATGCATCCAGAGATAAGGGTTTTACCAACTTCCTGAGAATCCCTTAGCTCTGTCAAGTTGGCACATAAAATTAACCATCACAGAGCACAAGTGATTCTGATAAGCACCAACAATGAAAAATCTGTCTTCACATTTTATTTTATTTAGTATATCACAGTGCATAGTTAGGCTATTACCTTTTAATTTCATTTGCAAATATATGAGCTGCATCTTTATCATTATATTAGGCTTCATAATGAGTTAAAGAAAATACCCACAAGTTTAATTTTTGTATCACTTCCGATCTTATATCTGAATTATTGGCATGAATCAAGTCAGGCTAAGCATGGGATAGGAAATATGATACAGTTAACACCAGAGATTAAATAAGCTAAGCCATAAGGCATTCTAATGTATCAACAGCAGGGCAACAGAGAGACACCAACATCAGTTGGGGCTTGGCATACTAATTTCTCTATAAAACTGATCCCGGTGGGAGCAGCTTAAAGTCCAAGTAAAAGTTCCCAAAGAAAGTGACAACCTGGACTGGTCTTGCTACACAAAAGGATCTGAGCTAATATGAGCACAAGGGTGGTAGTTACAGGTAAGTGACAGCATCCCAAAATCAAATCTTTGGCTTTTTAGAGCAGGACTACAATAGCTTGGATCAAAGAGAACAGGGTTCAGTCTCTATGGAGAGAGATTTGCAAAGGTTTGGGTATGATTATAGCAAAATGCTAATTAGAAATAAAAGTACGTAATCTATAGTTAAGATTGTGTGTTCTGGAGTCAGACCAACTTAAGTTTAAATTCCAGCTTTGTTATGTGAATTAGGGCAAATTACTTGACCAGTCTGTACCATAGTTTCTGACTCTAAAATTTGATATCACAATGCTAATTTTAAGAGATTGATGTAAGGATTAAATGAGATACTGTATTTGAAAACATGTCACACTGTATCCTGTCATATTATAATCATCTTATTAATGGCATTTAACATTTTTATTAATTGAAAGGCCAAGCATTTTAAGGAGATATACATGGCAAGGGTTAAGAAAGAGTGACAACTAACTCAGATTTGATGCAATATGCATTTATCGATCATCTCATTTGTGCTATGCACCATGTTAAAATATAAAATATAGGAAACAAGACTAAGTGGTTCCTGCCTTCAAAGAACTCATTTCCAGGGGGAAACAGACATATTTTTATGAATAAGATAGTACTGTGAAATGAATGTTAATAGAGCTATGTACAGAATCCCACAATAGCACTGAGCATGGATCATCCACTTGTGCCTGGGAAGCCCAGGAAGATTTTGTAAGGAAAAGATAGTTAATCAGAGGCTTGCAGGAAGAATTCAGTCTGGATTTTCAAGGCCCTAGAGAATGTGTTTTAGAGCATCCAGATGAATTCCAATCCCATGAATGGCTGGTTTTGAGTTTAAAACATTCTACTCACCACAACCAAGTTTAATGTAAATATTGGGCATCTGAACCCCAAATGGATAGTTGGTATATACTGAGGTATTGAGAGGTGATGGAGAAGAGATGGACTATTTAATCGCCCTCATAATACTGTACTTTAAGGGTGCCATTAAGCTCTGCAATCATATTTATCCCAGTTTTTC